GAATAGAAAATACTGCATTAGAACACATCACACAGAGAAAGGAAATTATTTTGTGAAACTTTAGTTTCACACACACACAATGTATATATTATGTGCTGGGTCAATCCCATACAATGTTTTTTCAAAGAAAGTTTATTTCAAATTTCTTTGAAAAAATACCATTTAGGGCACTCAAGGAGATCTCCAACTGTCCAGATAGATGAAGCTTTTCTCTTGGAAGGAGAGGTAAGTTTCTCTGGAGAAAAATTATCTATACTCCTGCCTGTTAATCTGGTAGCCAGTGTTCATTTAAGTATTTGTTGAACATGTACATGCCAAACACTGCTGTAGGTACTAGGTATACATCAGTGTATAAAAAAGACAAAACTCATTATCCTCTCGGAACTAAGATTCCAGAGGGGAACTCGGACAGTAAGTTATACAGTGTTTGGATACTGTGCTATGGTAACACAGTAATAGAAGGGGAAAGCTGAATATTTGTATTCAGATGCTGGTTAGCGGGTAGATGTGGTGGAAGTGGTAAATGCTCTGATTACTGCACGAATGAAGTAGAAAGCAAGGTCATCTGAGAGTGAGAATGTGGAAGGAGGTGTTAGAGACAGAATGTCTGATTGGCTTGGTCCTCTCAGGGTGCTTCCCAGTCCTTCAAACACATAGGCTCCGATTGGCCCACCCTACGAGCTTCTGGTATACACAGAGAGATCTGAATCCCAGTGGTGGAGTCAACTTAGGCTGATTCCCACCCCATACTTCCTTCCCTTGTCATTCCTTTCAACTCCTACCCTTCCCCTCACCCCTTACTGAGCCTGGAACCTCCTCTCTGGCTGTCCCTCTTCAGACCTTAGAATTGTTTTTTTAAAAAAATATATTTTATTGAGTTTTTGCAGAGAGGTAGGGAGAGGGATAGAGAGCTAGAAACATCGATGAGAGAGACACATCAATCAGCTGCCTCCTGCACGCCCCCCACTGGGGATGTGCCCGCAACCAAGGTACATGCCCTTGACCAGAATTGAACCCGGGACCCTTGAGTCCGCAGGCCGACGCTCTATCCACTGAGCCAAACCGGTCAGGGCCTAACTGTTCTTTTAGAAACTTGTTCACTTTTTTGTTTTGTTAATCATCACCCTAGGATATTTCCATTGATTTTTAGAGAGAGTAGAAGGGAGAGAGGGGGAGAGAGAAAGATGATTGTGAGAGAGACATCAACTGGTTGCCTCCTGCAGGTGCCCAGACTAGGATACAGATTGAACTAGCAACCCAGGAATGTGCCCTTGACTGGGAATCGAACCCGAGACCCTTTGGTGCTAGGGCCAACACTCTTAACCACTGCTCAGGGCTAGAAACCTGTTCACTTTAATATACTTACTATCCCCCAACTGGTTCATATATACCAGAGAAACTATTATGAATTCAGACATGTGGGGGACAGTTTCTATAGAACTTTCAAAACAGAGTAATTGCTTCCTCAGCACCAAATGCTCAAAATACACAAGAACCACTACAGCAGCCCCCTGAGAACAAGGTCACCCAGCACATCCAGGAGTCTAGCATTTCCTAACGAAACCCCAAGGTATCCCAAGTGAGGAAAGCAAAGTTAAGTTCCTGTTATCCAGGCTCACAGTACAGAGATTATATGTCTACACTCCTGCTGCCCTCCAAGTGTCTCCTCTGGCAAACACTAGATGTCTACTAGATCAACCATACTCCCCCTTCCCAACCTATTTCTACTGTTCAAGGCACTGACAGGCTTTGAGTATTCAACATTGGAGTATGTGGATTTCCTGGAGAATTAGGTTTTCCGTATTCATTACAAATTGGCTCCAGTAAAAGCAATCGGGATTGAATTCCCCTCCCTGATTTTGGTAGCTAGGATTTGCTGGTCAGGGGCAGATATCCAGGAAATAGTGTGTAAAGGTTTGGAAAGAAAGGAAAGGCTTGTAGTCATCAAGCTGCTAGAACCTTTAGACAAGTCATTACCTAAAAGCAGGTAAAGCCCAGGGTTGCTCAGTGGTCATTGCGTTGGCCTGTACACTGAAGGCTCACAGGTTCAATTCCTGGTCCTGATTGGGGATGGTGTAGGAGGCAACCCTTGCAGGAGTCAACCAATGGATGTCTCTCTCACATCAGTGTTTCCCTCTCTCCTTCTCTCCCCCTCCCTTCCACTCTCTCTCAAAATTAATAGAAAAAATATCCTCGGGTGAGGATTAAAAAAACCCCACAGCAGTCTGGTTGGTGTATGAACCAGGAGGTCAAGGTTCAATTCCTAGTCAGGGCACATGCCTGGGTTGTGTGCTTGATTCCTAGTGAAGGATTTGCAGGAGGCAGCCAATCAATGATTTTCTCTCATCACTGATGCTTCTAATCTCATTCTCTCCCTCTCCCTTCCTCTCTGAAATCAATAAAAATATGTATTTTTTTAAAAGTAGGTAAAGACCCAGATTTTTCTCCGTTCTGGTCAGGCATCTGACAGCCCTAGTCTTCCAGAACAGCCACAACCCTTGTATAAAAAGGTCTCTGAGTAAACAGTTGTCACAATGCCCATATACTTGATACCATGTGAGAAACAGCTACCAGTAAGTCATCAGCCAGATAACTGGGTTTGATTCCGGTTAGGGGCATGTGCCCGGGTTGCAGGCTGGATCCCCAGTGAAGGGTGTGCAGGAGGCAGCTGATCAATGATTCTCTCTCATCATTGATGTTTCTATCTTTCCCTCTCCCTTCCTCTCTGAAATCAATAAAAATATATATTTTTAAAAAAGAAACTACATTTGATTCGCAATGCCATTTAACAAAGATGTCCTAGAATCAAACAATTTTGGCATTAGAAATGACTTTGTAGTTCTCCTTATCCAACACTGAAATCTCTCATAATATTGCTAGAAAATGATCATTCCACCTTGCACTTTCAGTGAAAGAGAATTTAGAAGACAGTCCATTTAATTGTGCTAAATACTTGCATCTTTATTCTCCTCTGAGCCTTTGCTTTTCCTTCTGCAAAACTGTGAAAAATTCTACCTTCTTTGTGAGGGTTAGTGTAGTCCCTGTTTTATAGCAGATGCTTCCCTCCAATGGAGTCAGGATATGCCTCTCTACAACCTCCACCTATTGGAAATGCTTGCCTTCTCGTGCCAAACACTTTCCACATGACAGCTCTCAAGACAATAATCATGTTGCCATTATCCTCTTATGGATGCTTCACATATTATACACCTGTGCCTGTCTTATAAATGACATCTCCACACACAGTCCTTAATACTTCTACATATAGAATATATAATCAACTGAAAACACTAACACATGAATTTTTCTTAATCCAGGTTCTCCTCCACTGTGCAAATGCAATAAATTTAAAGAATGAAAGAATATATTTTTAACCTCATTAAAACAATTTTGTTGATTTCATCATATTATATTGATTCTGTCCCTCATTGCTTAAGAGTTAGGTTGGGTAAGTCTTTTTACATTTTTAATCTTTAGAATAAATGGACAAAAATAAGACAAAACCTTTTGAGGTGGAATGATAGTATCATCTGAGTAGCAATAGAACCATAATTCTATACTGTAATAACTACTGTCATAGTTAAAGAATATTTCTTGTTGCCCAGCTGGTGTGGCTCAGTGGTTGAGCATCAACTTATGAACCAGGAGGTCATGGTTCAATTCCTGGTCAGGGCACATGCCCTAGTGGCCGGCTTGATCCCCAATATAGGATGTGCAAGAGGCAGCCAATCAATGGTTCTCTCTCATCATTGATGTTTCTATCTCTCCCTCTCTCTTCCTCTCTGAAATCAATAAAAATATATTTAAAAATAATTATTGTTAACTATTTAACCATACTGTTTAAATATTTAAAATATTAACACTTTAAGGTAAGTTTTATCATCTGTAAAGTGCATTTGGCATGTGATTTAGACATGGCTTTAGCTATATATAAAGGTACATTAAACCCTTCCTCTTCCCAAACCACTTCAATTTGTTTGAACTAAACAAATACAGTGGAATCTCAGTTCTCAAACTTAATGCCTTCCAGAAGGCTGTTCGAGAAGTGATTTGTTCAAAAATTGAATTAGTTTTTCCTCTAGAAATAATGTAAATTGATTTAATCCGTTCCAGACCCCCAAATGATTCCCTGTTTTAACCTTTCTTATATACCTAATGTACTGTTTAATCTATAAATAATCACTTCTTTTCTTACATTTATTGAACCACCCTCTACTAGCCTGAAACGAATCACTTCTAACATTCGGTCCAGGGATGTCTTTCAGGTCGGCATGCAGCATCCCTGCTTGTTCATGTATCATAGCCTCCAAAATGGCCGTCACTGGCTCACTGCTTTTTGTTTATCCAAATCAACAGCTTTTCAGCCTCTTCAATTGCCTGTGATTATTGTTTCTTTCACACTTTAGCAACATCAGCACTCTTGATGGCCTCTATGTTTTAAAATTGTGCTAATCGTTGATTTCACCAGCAACAAAAGCATTCTCTTTTTAGTTTGTTGCCTGAGAGCGGCTTTTTGTCATGCTGAGGTATCAGCTTGAAAGCGTTGTCAGTTAGAAAACTGAGACATTTTTTTCTGTGAACAACTTGGGTGAGATGGGAGACTTTCGAGAAACGAGGTTTGATTATATTTCCTTTTCTAGAAGGAAGTGTTCTCATGCTGCTGAGCCACCAGAAAAGATTGTGAAGGAATTAAAGCTGTGAGGGAACACCATATGCCAACCACTTTACAGGGATTATCTCATTTGATTCTGTAAAGTTAGTATTATTATCACTTGTTTTATAGATTACAAAACCAAGCTCAGAGAGGTCCACTAATTTGCCCAAGGGCATACAGGCAGTAAGAGGGAGAGCTGAAGGGGCAGTAGCAATAGAGGAAATGAGAGCAACAAAGCCTAGTGTTCAGAAGACCCTATGAGACAAACACCCATGCAATTAGGCTGTTCCCAGGCTCCCCCACCTTCCAGGGCCCCGACAGACAGACATTTTATCAGACAAGCACACAGCGGGGAAGATTTCACTTTATTGTTAATTACGTCAATTTCACAAATAAACCCAACACAGCCAGAAACACTGAGCAGATAAAGTGCTAATGCAGAGGCCTGGAAACAGAAGGAGGGAGGAATCCAGTTCGTCTCCTCCATGTCCCCAACCTGGAAAGATATTTCTATCACACAGAGTGAAGATAGCTGACATACCAAACAATCCATTCTATAGACACTTTGAGCTAAGGGATAGAAAATCTTACCAGGTGGGATCTGTGCAGGGCAAGGAAATAGAAAAGTCAGAAACCATTTATTCCACAAGTAAGTCAGGCATAGAAATACCAAATGACAAAAACAATATTTTCTAAACTTTCTGTATTTGAGATGGACACCTAATAAGGAAGGCGATGGGTACCAGTTCTACAGGGTTACTTCTCGCTACTGCCTGTCTTCAGAACTGTGACCTAGGTAGACTCTTCCAACATCCTCAATCAGAGGCACCAGAGAGAATATTCTAGGATTCTGGGAAGAACTGACCTTACCTGCCTACCTTACCAGTCCCCCAAAAGTAAACCCAGTGCTCCCTAATGAATATCAAGGAGATATGGGCTACCAGAGTAATCAACTTGGCAGCACTTAAAGATTAATGAAGCTCAAGATTCCTCATAATTGTCATTAGATATTTTAAGTTACCGCCTTCAAGCCTGGGTTTTAAAGCGCAATTATTTATTTAGTAAATTCAAATGATTTGACTGCATTGAGATTATGATACCCTATGCTTAAACGAACCCAACTGTTTATATTTCAAAATTGGAAAACCACTGACTGATTCTCAGAGGCCAAAAAGATCACTAAGGGTTGTCTGATCATCCCCCTGATGTCACAGAATCCTGGACTCAGAGCCAGAATCAGTCGCATCTTTCCCTGAGAATTCCTGGTCTCCTGGTCCACAGGGAATCCATACAAGGTAAAGGAGGCCAAGGAACTTCCAACATGCCTCACATGTGGCCAAGAGTCAACGCTCAGAGTGGAATTTTCAACTAGGGAAGGAGGGGTAAAGCATTTCAACTCAGTTCTAGGATCAGAAGCAGGCCAAAGTGCTGCTATGGTAGGTAGGGGAAGAGAGTAGAGAGACTTCAATGGAAAGGCACAAGGCCCCCTAGGTAAGACAATGGGGTAGGACTGGAGGGGGCATTGAAGGCTGGTAACCTGAGATCACCCCTGCTGAGCTTCGAATGTGACCTCCTCTACTATGGCTACACTTGGTTTTTCATCTCACTTCCTCCATCCGGGCTGATAAGAAGGGGGTCTGAGGATGACCCCATGATAACTGGCTGCAGCTGTTCAAGTGGAAGTCACCAACTTTCTAGTCTTTAGGGAGTTTCTGTAAAGCTAAAAACATTCAGAGTTCCAAAGAGTTGTTTGGTAGGGACAGCAGTTGAACACTAAATGAGATTGTTGGTGGGACCTGGCAAAGTTCACAGTGGGATCCATTAAGTACTGTGGGAACTAATGCTATGAATCAAGGGTAGAACTGGGATTCTCCTGAAGAGATACTCACAGCTGGCTATTTTTCTGACTTCTCCAGGTATTTCCATGACCAAACTGAAGAGGAAATTCCACTATAGGTATCTGTGTGCCCAAGATGACACCCCCAACACCGAGTTTCGAGAAGTCCTTGTGATCTTCAACTCTTTGAGAGGGATCAGGAAATATTGGACAGTCAGAAAAAGTTGTCCTTAATACTGCCAGCTCCCCCTTCTCGCCCCCCCCCCCCCCCCCCGCCCTGCCTCTTTCCTCATACCAGGACAGAACCGAAGAGTTCCCAACCCTCAACACCCTGCCTGAAGTTTCATCCTGACCATCCCAGAAAGATTTCCCTATGTAGGCCTTCCCACCAACTGACTCTACCTAGTACTCCCTTCTATTCTGGACCTGCTCTGGGTCTTCTTTACCTACCCCCATTCTCAGCTACTTGAGTCCATGGCAGACAAAGATCAGAGTCTATACAGAGATAGTGATTGGATCTTGGGAATATTAATGTCTAACGAAGATGCCTAGATTATTTACTGAAGCCTTCAATTCCATCCCAGAGAGTAATTAATGTTCTTCTGTCTGTGGTTCCTTCTCCTCCTCCCCTCCAAAAAGTTCCACATGAAAGACCATCTCATTGATCTTTGTACCCTCAGCTTTTAGGTGCTAAGATAAGGGCCTAAAAGCGTCCATTTGGGTCAGGGGACTTTTAGTGGACTTAACACACAGGAAGGAGATATACCCAGATCCTTCTTGCATCCATCCCCAAAGCATACTCTTCCCCTCCCCTCCCCTACCCTTTTTACAAACCCTCATTTCTTCATCTTCCTCTCAAGGCTTGAATACAAATGAAGCAGTAAGGGAGAATGAACACAGCCTTGGCTTATCAGGTCTCAGTTCTAGGTCCCTTCTGCCACTGACTCAGTATATGAGCTTAGGCAATTCACTTGCCTCTCTGGAACTTCAGATTATGTCTCTGGGCTCTTTCAGATTTCAGATCTATCCATACTTGAGAAACCAATGAACGAGTTAGAATATTAATTCTGAGACGTAGGCATCCTGCACCTCTCTGAAACAGCTGAAAGGAGATAAAGGTCAGGTTCCTGTTTATTATACGTTTTAGCTATAGGAAAAGAAGCAAGTGTACTTATACAGAAACAGGACCTGGCAGCTCCTATACTTGACAAATTAAAGCAAATTCCTGTAAGAAGCATAAAAATAGGCCACAAGTGAGACCCGGCAGTGTCAAAAAGGTCTAGAAATCAAGTGATCAAAGGAGTAAAAAACAATGGCTATAATCAGACAAGATCTCTAAGCACAGGCTAAAGTCTAGAGAGGTCTGGGTGGGAAGGAGCCCTGGAGCTTCTATTAGAGAAAAGGACTTGGTCCACAGCAAGTTGCTACTGCATTTGGTTCAAACCCAGTTTCCTCAATCTGTCAACCTGGTGTGTGTGCATATGCTGCAGGCTGCAGTTATGCTTCTGAAGTGCTGAAATGAGAAAGAAACAGAAGAAATGATACCAATTTCAAGGAAGTTAGGAAGGCAAGTACAAGTTTAGTTTAAAAGCTACTAATTTTCCCCACCACTCTGTGCAGTATCATCACTGCTCATTCTGAAATGTGAGCTAGAGGGTTGTGTAAGATGGTGAAATCTGGGGTTGGGGAGGGATGTATCTGTGGTATGACTGAAGGTCAAAAGCAGGACACAATCCAGTATCCTGTATGGGAAATCTTCTGGTTAATGGCAAATGGATTTGACTTGATCTGACCCATTTGGACACTCACTTGTCTTCATTCAAAGAAACTGTCTCCACAAAAGGGATTTCTTCTTTGTCTGTTTTCCCCATGATCAGCTGGTGCTTATCCAAGTTTATGATGCACTGAAAACAAAGGAGAGTCACTGTCAATGATCTCACTTTGGAGGTATCCATATACGATGACCCCTGCCTAGCTGGCATGGCTCAGTGATTGAGCATCAACCTATAACCCAGGAGGTAATGGTTTGATTCCCAGCCAGGGCACATGCCTGGGTTGTAGGCTTAATCCCCAGTGGAGGGCATGCAGGAGGAAGCTGATCCATGATTTTCTCTCATCATTGATGTTTCCCTCTCTCTTTACCTTCCTCTCTGAAAAAAAAAAAAAATGACCCCTGCCTCAGAAAGAAAGTGTCAAAGGGAAAGTAGAATCAATCCTACCTTCAAAGATCGGAGAGTCTGGAGACCAAGGGATAAGTTCTTCTCATTGTCCTCTAATAAAAAAATAATTAAAATTCAACCATTTCCATACTGGTTTAGAACTCAGCCTTATCACCGTTAGGTTCTATCCATCCAACCAACCAACCATCCATCTATCCATTCATCCAATAAACATCTGTTGCATCCATCTAATAAATATCTGTTGTTCATCTACTTAATTTTCCCAGATTATTATAGTTAAAAGGTGATAGAACTAATATTCAAACTCAGGTCTTTTTAACCAAGAGTCAAACTTGGGTACTTTTATCTTTAAATACAAACCAGGAACTTATAAGTAGTCTAGAATAGAGTACACGACAGAAAGAATGAGATGGTGGGAAGTCATCAAGGGATTTATAGCAAAGGAGTTAGAGGATCCTGCCCTCTACCTCAAACTAGCTCATGGAAATCTCTGAAGGACCCTTTTCACTGGCACAAAAAATGTTTGTGTCTTGCCTCCCCTTTTTTTAAGAGTAATTCTCACCTTGCCTTGAATGTAGCCCAGGGTCCAACTGGTACTATGGAAGGCAAAAATTGGGACAAGGTCTATAGTACAGAAAAGTGAAAACCTGGGATTTTGCAGAAGTCAATATTTACAGGCATGAGATCTCATGTGGGTTTAGAAGTAGGGAGAGGATTTACATTAGGATCCATAGATCAGGTCCCCAATTCTACTCACCAACCACCGCTGCTGGGCAGTCCAGGCAAAGGGAACCCAGTGTGATCACTAGGTGCTCAATCTGCCCCACTACTTTCAGATGCCGGGGTAGAGACAGCTTCTCTCCTTCATGCTTGTGAGATTTGACATGCTCCTTGAGTCTGCACCAGAGGAGAAGATACCAGAGGTTTCTGACGGAATCTGGCAATGTCTACCTTCTCACCCATAGTCGGAATTTTCCAAGGATTTCCTGGGATTAATTTACCAAGAAAGTGCTAGCCAGCCTATACTTCTTTTTTCAGCACGTTGTCCTAAACATGCCAGGGGATATAAAGAAAACTAAAGACTCATTTCCTGTTCTCAAAGAGATACGCCACTGTGTGCATTGATAGAAGTAAGAGTTGACTCACTCAGAGAATCTATTCTGCATCCTAACATTGCCACCTGTGTGCAAGTTTAGCTAACATGTCCTTTTACACATCTGTGGATAACAGATCCCAGAGAGGGCAAGTCAATTCTACTTTTAGAAGATACTCTGTTTAATGTCTAATTTTCTCTGTCTTTTTCATGTCAGTCTACCCTCATCAGTTAGTCTTGGGCTCTAAGTTTAATGTCAGTAAGTGCATTGGTATTGATATCAACAAGAAATATAATGGAGGAAAACCCCAATTAATTTAACTTGTCTGTACAGAGGAAGAAGGAAAAAAACAGCACCAAGGTTTCACAGTTATGTAATGTGATTGGAACAGCTAGCACCCGAGCTATTATGGGTTGGTGGATAAATACTTAATTATGGGCTTTTTGTGCCAGTACTTTTGCTTTACTCCATTTCCTATCCTTTGGTGTTATAACCCATCCAAAAGAAAAATAAGTGCAGTTTTACAGATGGCTATTAATTCGTCTGGAATCATGGCAGTCTGCTACCTAATTATGCACAAGGACATGATTAGTCTTTCTGGAACCATCATGGTGCACTATGTCTCATCTCTTCACCACATTAAAAAGCTCAGGATTCTTCCCATGAGAGCACTTGTGTCCTGAACTCCCCCCACTACCCTGTATGTATAAAACCCATAGAGGCTGCTTCAGAGAATCACATGATGGTGTGGGCTGAGGACAGAGTAGAAACAAGATGAAACAGGTCATGTAGCAGAGGTCACGGATTACACAAATCAAGTTTTGTGCAAGCCCTATCTAAGAATATGGACATCTTGAAAGTAGTTTAAAATGGGCCATTATATCTATTCTAGTGATTGTTTCAATGCAGAGATTTGGGCTAAGGGATGACTTATTGTATTTAGGGATACAGAAGTGGAGAAGAATGTTGGGTTGATCCTCCTAATTTGGGGCCCATCAGGTACTTTGGAGGAAAGAGAAGGAAGAAGAAATGAAAGTACAGATGGAGTGAAAAGGAAGAAGAACATATCTGTCAGAGAACTGAAGACATTCAATTCTGAGAGGTGTCTGCCCCTCACACCCAATACCCAGCAAGCTCAGCAGTAAGATCTCATATTATATTTTTCACAGAGAGAAAAGGCACTAAGAGACTATTGGTTAAATTACCCTGATGATGGTTCAGGCCTGGCAGCAATAGCAGTCCTAGTCTAAGTTCAGTTTGATGCTTTTTGGGACAGGCAGTGCCACCTTCAGGAGGACCCTGAGTTAAGCTAAAGCCAACCACATTCCCTGCTTTTACTCATCAGGCCTAATCTATTGTCTGGGCAGGTCACAAATTAGCAACAGGATATGGCACACAATGAACCAAGAATCTCACATTCTCTCCAGAGCTTGCATGTCTTTTCTCAAAACTTAATAGGTGGGAGTTAATGGAAGGTCTGAGGCCTGCCTGGCTCAATGAATTCTCTGAGATCCCTCACTCTGTCCCGCTACTAAGGACTGGTTCCAGCTGGTATTTGAGCCCTGCACACTTTTGGAGCCTCTGTGGAGACCCTCACCATTTCTAACCTCAAAATAGACTCAGGCAGAGTGACTAGCATCTGAATTCCACCCAGTACAAGTAGCTACTTACCCCAGTCTATACACACAGGCTGAAGAGATGAGATTATATTGACAGCCTGTGTCAATCAGGGCTTTCACGTCCTTTCCAGCGCACTGTGGAGAGGAAACATACTGTTCAATAGGAGCAAGGGAAGGGAGACCCAGAGAGCAAGCCGCAGATGTCGTGTGAAAGGCAGGTTTGGGGAGCATCTTCACAATATGGGTTGTAGTGTCCCATCTTTACCCACTGCTAAGTCTCCTTTGAGGGGCTCTTTTTCCTGCTTAATTTAGAGATGACAGAAGATCCCAAAGGACTTTGGGTTTTTCATTCTATATATCAAGTAACGTGTGTGTGTGTGTGTGTGTGTGTGTGTGTGAGTGACATAGCCCTTTGCAAATCTGATGAGTGTTTTGGTCCTTTTCCCCATAAAGATGCACACTCATACAAAATACTGCACACACTTTCTGTCTTGCATGGAGTGCCCTCCTTGAAACTCATTTATAAATCCCATGATATGGCCCATACCAGGGGTCCTCAAACTATGGCCCGCGGGCCACATGCAAATACAAATACTGTATCTGTTCCCATTTTGTTTTTTTACTTCAAAATAAGATATGTGCAATGTGCATAGGAATTTGTTCATAGTTTTTTTAAAAACTATAGTCCGGCCCTCCAACGGTCTGAGGACAGTGAACTGGCCCCCTGTTTAAAAAGTTTGAGGACCCCTGGCCCATACTCTACAATTTGGAGGTGAGAGACCTACTTCAGATTATAACGTGCCCAAATCCTACTCACCCGCAAACCCGGGAAAAGCTGTTTTCAGAACATTACCTGGCAAGAAACCAAAATCATGTCATCATCCTCAGACTTTTTCAGTCCCTCAGACTTAGCCTGATTGAGTTTGTTGGTCTTGGAGGTCCATGGGACACGACTGCTTCGGAGCTTAGACAGGTTGGTTTCCATGAGGCGCCTCTGCAGAATGTTATGCGGTTGCTTGAAGAACAGAAAGCACAGGCTTCTTAATGACAGGTCATTTCCCCTTCCCCCACTGTCCCCCAGGTGCTGCTGACAATGCAGGAGCCTCACATAACTGAGCTCTACCTCTGCTTCTTAGGTAGTCTTCCTTCAAGTAGGGACTTCATTGGTATGGTCAGAACAGGTACTATAAACCAATTTGCAAGTAGGCCACTCGGAATGAAAGAGCCAGGTGGACACTGAAAGGTGGGGATGGGGCCAATGAATATTCTGAGGCTAAAGAGAACTGAAGGACCCTTGCAATTTGGACTTCTTGGGCCTACTGCCTTCCCGCCCCTTACAAGGGCATTTCAAGAGAGGAGTGGCCTTAGTCTATGTGAAATAGGTGTATCTTCCAGGGGGCTGACAGAAGGGGCAGCTTATTTCTACAGGCTGAAGAAACCCACCGAGCACTGGATTCAGAAGCTCTGCCTATTTCTATTTCAAGTCTCACTCCCTTTCAGTCTTATCTTTTGGACCAAGATGTACAGGTCATGCCTTAGTGGCCTGAGGGCTGAGTGAGTCACCCATGGGTGGATGGGGTGGGAAGACAGGAATTCAGACCTGCTGAGCAAACCTCTCAGGAGACACACTTTGGAATGTGGCAGAGCCCACAGGAATCACCCTTATTGACATCCCCTGAATCTCCAGGAGTAAAAGACGGCTCCTGCCATATGCTTGTCATCCATGCCCGTCTCTTCAATGGGCCAAAAAGTGTGAGTATACAAGGGGCAGAGACTGACCAAGAAGCGGGGGACTTAACTTGACCTTGTATCTGTGTCAGGATACCGAGTGTTAGAAAGCAGAGTGAGGATTGTGATTTCAAATCTGCTCTTTGATTGAGCTTAGGAGAGTTCCCAGGGCAGATATATCCATTCTCTACTGCTTCTACCCACAGTGGCCTCTAGAAAGTATAAGCTACCTCTTTATAAGAAGTTGTTTGACCTGAGAAACTTCTACACAAAGCATCTTATTCCCCGTTTACATTAACATTCGAAATCCCTCAAAGTATAGCTTCTAACCATAAGCTTCTATGTAACCCATACCAGGTAGCACTCCAGTTCTAGGGGAAAGAGAGTCATTCTTAGAAGCCCAGAGCCTAGAACTTTTCTCAGGGAAGGGGGAAGAACAGGAGAAGGTCTTCATTTTCCACCACCTTACAGATTTCTGAGGAAGAATGGAGGCAGAGCCATGACTCACTGTAACCCTGCTGAGGTGAAGAAACATATTCCCGAAATACACTGATTCTTGGCAAAGCAGATTCTAAATTAGTATTCTTGAGAAAAGGAGAGAAAGAGACACTTTAAAGAAAATGAGCTTCTTAACTTGATAAGGAGGCAGAGGAAGTGCTAACTCTGTCAGGTTTCCTGATGTGCCATTGGGAGAATGCTTTGCTCCTCAAAAGAAACAGAAATTCTTCATTCTTATTTCTCTCATTAATAAGCCTGGATTCCTAACTTAAGTCATATTATAGCAGGGTGTTCGTTTCTGTCAAGTCCAACTCAGAAAGTTTGGGGCTTTTCTTCTACATCGTTTTGCTGACCACTTTATCTGGTTACTCTTTTCTGTTGTTGTTAATCCTTACCCGAGGATTTGCTTTCCATTGAATTTTAGAGAGAGTGGAAGGGAGGTAGGCAGGAAAAGGGAGAGGGAGAGGGAGAGGGAGAGAGAGAAGGAGAATGAGGAGAGGGAGAGGGAGAGGGAATGATGTGAGAGAGACACATCAATTGGTTGCCTCCCGCACTTGCCCTGATGTTCCAACCACTGAGCAACACTGGCCAGGGCTATCTGGTTACTCTTTTTAAAAAATTTTTTTTTTATTGCTTAAAGTATTACAAAGAGTATTACATATGTCTCCTTCTTTTTATCTGGTTACTCTTAATCTTGCAGAGGAGTCTAATCACCACTGGATAGATAAGGTAAATGAGGAAAGTTCTAAAATTACTTTCCTTGAAGTCATCTCTCTTTTGAATTTTCCTCCCTTCCTACTGGACCCTTCCTCCACAGGCTATAAAACATACTCAAAGTTCTCATGTATTGGGGAGAAAACTTCAGATCCTGCCTCCTCAACTCTATACCCCCTCTAATGACACCCTTGTCGTGAGAGGTCTTTTTAAAGAAAAGCTAAAATCACTATATCTAGTTCCTGATACCTATAATTTCTTCAATGAGTTACTTTTGAATTCATACCACCAATAATGACTTCCTAATTTCCAAATCTGATATTTTCAGCCTTCATTTTACTTGACTGCTCTAGGGCATTTAGCCCTGCTGATCATAGTCAGTCCTCCATACCCACAGGCTTTGAATCCACCGATTCAACCAACTGTGGACTGAAAATAATCAGGGGAAAAACACCTCAGGAAGTTCCAAAGAGCAAACCTTGAATGAATCAAGAGATATGTAGGCATACCCAGCTGTAGCCTGTATACATATGCTACCCCATTTTATTTAAGGGACTAAATCCATGAATTTTAGTATTGACGGGGGTGGGGTGGTGGTGGTGGTGGTGGTGGCTGGAACCAATCTACCATGGATACTGAGGGGTGACTATTCCTTTATTTGTCCCTTTCTTTAGTAACCAAAGAAGGTTCAAACACAATACATGCTCCATGTAAAATATTCATACATCACTGAAGTACATAAAATTAAAAGGGAAAGGCTCCCCAACTTCTCAACACCCTTCCAGTTCCACTCCCTATAAATAACAACCATTAAATTTAGCAATCTATTATTAAATTTTTTTATTGATTTCAGAGAGGAATGGAGAGGGAGAGAGAGGTAGAAACATCAATGATGAGAGAGAATCATTGATCGCCTATCTCCG